CTTCCAACCCGATCCTTCATGTCCGGGACTCTGGCGCGTGGGTCTTTTTTCTTATTGTCTACCCGTTCTTTCCCCTTTGGGGCTGGACTCCTCCTTCTCGGGCTAACTCTTTTGCCCTCTTCAGATTGTGCATTTGCAATCTCCATTTAATCCAGTTCGAGATATTTCTTCGAACGAGTTCTGAATTCCTCCAAAGTCCTCACCGGGTCCTTGTAGATCGACTTGGCTAGCCTGGAAGCACCATGCAAACCAGCCACAATGAGGTGCACGTGGACATTCTCTTGCAACCCGGGGACCTGCAATGCAGCATCTTTGAACCGATTAAGATATTTTTGGAGGGTTTCTCCGGGTTGTTGTCGTATCTTTCTGAGAGCGAACTCGAATTTGGGATGCTTTTTGCTGGTTGCAAAGTTTAAGAGGAATTTCTGTCTGAATTCCTCGAATGAGCCTATGAAATTAGCAGGAAGAGTTGAAAACCACGCCTGAGCTGCCCCAGTCAAGGTTATGGCGAATATCCGGGATATGAGGGGTTCGTCAAATTCTCGGATATACATGTCCATGTCGAAAGCGTCTATATGGACTTCTGGATCTTGACTCCCATCGTACTTTGGCAGACATGCCGAGTCGAAGACCTCCGGGAAGGGAGCGTTCAGTATTTCCTCAGTAAAAGGGTTGTTGTTGTACTGCCCCTTACTGTACTCCTTCTGTATCCACCGGGTTCCACACGTCCTCGGACGATCTGAGCATTCTGGTCATGATGAGTCTTATTCCGGTCCTCCTGGCCATTGGCCTGTGCCAGATGGTTTTGAGCATTTTGGCCCTCGGCAGCCCCGTTCCCTGGGTTTGGGTTTGCTGCATTCGCCGGGTTGGGCCTTTCTTGATTTTCCACTTCAGGAACCCAATTTGGCAGGATTAAATTTCGAGTTCCTTCTCGGCCATTGGCAGGCTGGCCTTTAGTTTCTATTGCTCTCGGTCCAGTCAGCTGTGTTAAGCGTTGTTCCAGGTCTCGCATTCCCCTATTACTTTCCTCCTGTATCGCCCAAAAGTCTTGTTGTCGTTGCAGGTTATTACGAGTTTCCAATTCTGCAATCCGCTCCATCATCGCAGCAAATGCGTTGTTAGCCAACCGAGTATATGGATCGGCTGATTAGGCAATACGCGCAGCAAGATCTCCTGGGTGCTAGGAAGGGTTGTTCCTTATTGGAGCCATAATCGCATCAGCCCCTCTGTCTCGACGCGCTGGAATAGACACGGTGTCTGAGACGTCATCCTCAACCTGGACATGGTCATAGTCCACGTTGTTTCCGATATTGTTCTGAGGCTGATTTACCTCTTCCAGGACCGAATCCAACGGTTGATTCTGGTTCTGGGGTGGCTGTTGGCTACTACTCCTTGTCTGGATTACCATCCTTTGTCAGGTTAGTGGGGACTTCCAATTCAATGAAGATGAATTCCCCACAGACGGCGCCAGTGTTCTGTCCTTGAGACAGAGATGTCCAGCCCAATAGGCTGGTGTGTTTATCTTGGATCTAGTGCCCTCTCCAAAGTATCTATTAATGAGATACCCTTGAGTCAAGCATATCACTGTGCACAGAATAATATAAAGGCGTTAGCCAATGGGGTGTGTGTGTGCGCACAGTGACAGCATAACAGTAAGAGAGAGAGAGCCTATCTTACCTTTAGGGTTTACCTTGTATTTATAGAGATTACCTGTGGGTAGTGTGGATGGGCCTTTGGTGCCTCTGGTGAGGGCCCAGGCCTTGCTATGTTGTCGTATTAGGATTAGTATCCTTGATGGATATCTGTACCGTAGGGATCTATAAGCCCACTATGTTCCCTTCAGGGATGAGTCACTGTATGGATAATACCCTTAGCACAGGTACAGACCAGGCTAAGAGGTGTTTTGCCCAATATAACAAGCAATCAATAATGGATAAGAAAGAAATAGTATGACTCAAAGTAAATCGGCAGAATAACGATACATTAGATCCCTTGGTGTGCGCAACGGGGCTATTTATAGGGAGGTTGTATGAGCCTCCAACGGGTTGGTGAGGAGGGGGTCAACCCTTCTTGGGGTCCGCTCCTGATAGCAGATGCCGTGGGGCGTGACAGGCGCTGCTATGATAGCAGTGATGCCCATGGTGGTGTCAGGTATGTCAAACGGGGGCAGTTCCCTTTAACGACATCTGGGGCGACTGTCTTTGGGGGTTGGGATTTCGAAATGGGACATTTTGGTTCTTCCCCTAGGCAGCGTCGCAGCGTTGACGTGGGCTGGAGCCTTGGACTGGGCCTGAGCCACTCGGCTGCTTAGGGGTTGGGCCATCCGGAACAGGAGTCCCCCCAGCTTGGCAGCAAGCGTAGGTTGGTGCCAAGTTACGGTCTTTGGGCGTCTCTTGGCTGGTGTCGCCGAGGTACCCGGTTTAGGGCGTCACACTGACCGGTTTGGGCGTCATCCTGACTGGTATCGCCCAGGCAAAGGATCTGGGCGTCACACGGACTGGTGTCGCCAAGGTTCCAATTTAGGGCGTCACACTGACTGGTGTCGCCAAGGTAAAGGGTTAGGTACCCATCCTCTTACTTCCGCAAAGGGTGTTTTGGGTCTTTTGTCTTTCTGACACGGGGTATGTCTCTTCGAATTTCGAGGAGTCGCAATGATGGCTTTTTCCATCATTGCGAGTAACTGCAGGACTCAAACGTTACGAGGCACGTCACATTAATGCGACGTGTCATCATGTGGCGCGGTGCATTAATGCGACGTGAAAGGTGTCTTATCCCTTTGAAATTACCATCAGACCCTTCACTGTAATCGCTTATCTTCTGACGGTTACTTATCCTACGGTTGAAAGACCAAGAGGCTGTACACGTGTACGCCATCTTGGTTTCCTTCCTCCTTTAAAAAGGGGGCTCGTTCCCCCCTGAGGGCTTTTGTTACGCTATCTGCTGCTCTTCCTGTCTCTGCAAATTGCGTTGTGCTCTCCTTTCTTTGCCCTAGTGCTCGTGCCGGTCCTCCTTTCTTCACTGTCTGCATTATCTCAGGTACAGTCCTCCTTCCTTTGCACTTCTTTTTGCTTCGCTTCTCTTCTTCTTTTTCATGGGGATGGTTAAAGTAACGGACGTGCCTGGGTTGTTCTTACCTGAGTCGGAGGTTGAAGTTAAGGAGGAAGAATATGATGAAGCCTTCGACGCACTCGAAGGCTATACTGTGGGGCCAGCTATGCAGGAATATCTTGCTAAGTGTGGTGGGGAGGGTAACAGTTTTCCCTCCTATCGTTCTCTAGTTCCCGGGGTTGAGTCGTTACCCCCACGGTAGGGTTCCTGAGCTTTTGGGTTTTACTGAGGAGGAGATTCAAAATCTCCTGCCAGAACGGGCTTTAGGGCATGTGCTTCCTTATTTAGGTGAAGCGTATGACTCTCGTAGTCGCGGTGGGCGTCAGGTGTCAGGTGGTGAAGTCGCTTTTGGGTCTGGTAGGCGTCAATGTGCCAGCTCCGGAGGGCAACGGTCAGGCGTTTCGAGTGAAGGGTTAGGCCTTGCCCTTCACGCAGTCATCATTCAAGGTCTTCCATTCGCTCCTGTGAACCAAGGGGGGTTCGCATCGCCGTGTTTCGCAGCGTTCTGCCTTTGGAGCAGGGCGACTTGTCCGGCCATTGTCTTCTATTAACCGTCTACCACAAAATCGTCCCATATAATATTACTATAAACCTCGCCAACCGACTGTTGACTCTTCTTTTGCTTTGAGTACCTCACGGGGCCATATTCCCAATATTTCACAGTCCTTCCATCGCCGTAAATACGAAGAATCTACAGATAACCGCCTAGGTAGATACCACCCGGAAGATGGACGACTTGTGAAGTGTAGCGTGTGGGACGCCATATATGATGACCTGGGACTTTATAAGATACCGCCTTCTTGGTGGCCTTCTTCCTTAAGCTACTCGGATTTCTATTCTTCGAGCTCTCCAGCCCCACTTCCTTTATTGTTGGAGGATCCATCCACTTAGACCTTCCATTTATCACTGGATTCCTCATGTTCCGGGTTTACAGGCGTCAGTTCCATTATGAAGTCGGCCAGAGCTTGTGACCTGATGGCTTTCCGACTTTCATATGCTATGTCGTATTCACTGAGTTCAATTGCCCAGTTGGTCATTCTTCCTGCCAGGTCCGGCTTATGCAACAGCTGCCGTATAGGTTGATTGGTCTTGACAATTATTTGATGCCCCTAAAAGTATGGTCGTAACCTCCTGGCTGTGACCCACAAACCAATGGCCACCTTTTCTAACTTTTGATATCTGACCTCTGCACCTTGTAAAGCTCTACTGACAAAATAAATCGGCTCTTGGCCTTCATTAGTTTCTTTGATCAGAACAGCACTTATTGCCTCCTTCCCCACAGCCAGATACATGATTAGAATGTCTCCTGGGTTTGGCTTTGAGAGCACTGCCGGAGTTGCTAAGAATTTCTTTACTTTCTCGAACGCGGCTTGACACGCCGGGTTCCACCCTTTAATTGCTTCCTTCTTTAATAGTTTAAAGAATGGGAGGGTATTTTCAGCAAACTTCGGCAGGAACCGGGTTAGTGCAGCTAATCGTCCGGTTAACTGGTGAACCTCCTTTTTGCTTTGGGGTACTATCATATCAAGTACTGCCTTGCATTTGTCAAGGTTCGCTTCAATTCCTCTATGGGTTAGCTTGAAACCCAAGAACTTCCCTGCCAGCACTCCGAACGCACACTTTGCCGGGTTTAGGCAGATTTGATATTTCCTGAGTTTTTGAAAAGTTTGCTCAAGATCCTGGACATGGTTTGCGATATCGAAAGACTTGACAATCATATCGTCAATGTATACCTCCACATTCTTGCCCAGCTGATCTTTAAACACCCTATTCATCATCCTTTGATAAGTTGCCCCTGAGTTTTTAAGCCCAAATGGCATCACATTGTAGCAGTAGTTAGCCTTTTCAGCAATAAAGGTAGTTTTTTCTTGATCTCTTGGGTACATTGGAATCTAATTGTAACCAGAATATGCTAGCATGAAAGACAGCAATTGAAATCCAGCCGAATTGTCTACCAGTTGGTCTCTGTTGGGCATGGGGTAGGAGTCTTTTGGGCAGACCTTGTTCAGGTCCGTATAAACGGTACAGTCTCTCCACTTCCTATTTGATTTTTTCACCATCAACATGTTTGCCAGCCACGTTGTATGTTGTATTTCTCCATGCAAACACATTCGTGTTGTTTTCAAGGAACTGGGATAGAATGCCAATTTGTGGCAGCAGAAGGCAGGGTCTACCCCTGGGATCTCTGATGATCTCAATGCAAACACATCCGTGCTATTTTCAAGGAACCAGATCAACTCTTGCTTGATAGGATGGTCTATGGTCTTACCAATTCGTGTAAATTGACCGGGTTCTTTCCCCAATGCAAGATCTTCTAATTCACCATCGGGCTCAGGTCTCGGGATTACTTCTTCTCTCATGTCTAGTTCAACCAAGTTGATCGACTTACTTGAGTGTTGGGGAGTTGTGTTTTTGCCGAGTTTGTCTCCTGGGCGAACCCGGGGTGGACTCGAATGCCCGCCTTCGATTTCTTTGACTGTGTCAAAGTAGCAGCCCATGGATTCCTTCTGATCTCCAGCAATAGTTATTATTTCGTTCTTCCTACTCACCATTTTTATCTTCTGGTGCTTTGTAGAAACCAGCATGTCCCACTGGTTTATGGTTGGTCTTCCCCAAATTATATTATATTCTGACGGAAAATCAGCCACGATGAACCTAACCCGTTTTGATTTGAACGCTTCTTTGGTTCCCAAGGTTAACCTGAGGTCGATGTAGCCTTTAGGAGGTGTATGCTCTCCATTAAAAGCTATCAGATTCGTCTTGCAAGGTTTGAGGTCTTCCTCATCCAAGTTCATCTTTTTGAAAGCGTGCCAGAGTATGATGTCAGCACAACTCCAAGCATCCACGAAGATCTTCCTAACCCGGCAATTTACCAAGGTTCCCGAAATGACTAATCTGTTCACGTCCCGGCATCACACCCTGCATGTCCTCTTTTGTGAAATACAAAATGGGAGGGTCCGGCTTGGTCAGGTCTTCCTTGAATTTAGGACGGTCTCGAATGGAAAGTACCTATTTCAAGTATTTTCTTCTGGCACTCACAGTGTCTCCTCCACCCCCATGGCTCCACTAATTACATTACAATCAAATTCCGCTTCCGGAAACTCATCACGGTTGGAATCGTTTTTCTGATTCCTTTCCTCCTTGTTTTTCTTTTTCGGAGACGGGCTTTTACTTCTATTTCTGTTTCCCGCCTTCCTTTTGTTGTTTTTGGACCCTTTGGTTTTGATTACGTATTGACGCAATCATCCATCTCTCACAAATTTCTCCACCGCATCTCGGAGATCCCAGCATTGATCAGTTGTGTGGCCCGACCCATCATGGAAGGAACAGTATTTGGTCTTATCCAAACCTCCTCTGTCAAATATAGGCCGGGATCTGTCCACCTTCTTCATTTCCGTCATTGCTACTTCCCTCCAGATTTGAGAGCGCGACGCATTCAACGGCGTATACTTGTCATATCTTCCAACATGATCCTTCATGTCCGAGACTCTGGCGCGTGGTTCTTTTTTCTTATTGTATACCCGTTCTTTCCCCTTTGGGGCTGGACTTCTCCTTCTCGGGCTAACTTCTTTGCCCTTTTCAGATTGTGCATTTGCAATCTCCATTTGCTCCAGTTCGAGATATTTCTTCGAACGAGTTCTGAATTCCTCCAACGTCCTCACTGGGTCCATGTAGACCGACTTGGCTAGCCTGGAAGCACCAACCAAACCAGCCACAATGAGCTGTACGTGGACATTCTCTTGCAACCCGGGGACCTGCAATGCAGCATCTTTGAACAGATTAAGATATTTTAGGAGGATTTCTCCGGGTTGTTATCGTAGCTTTCTGAGAGCGAACTCGGATTAAGATGCTTTTTGCTGGTTGCAAGGTTATGGCGAATATCCGGGATATGAGGGGTTCGTCAATTCCTCGGATATACATGTCTATGTCGAAAGCGTCTATATGGACTCTTGGATCTTGACTCCCATCGTACTTTGGCAGACGTGCCGAGTCGAAGTCCTCCGGGAAGGGAGCGTTCAGTATTTCACCAGTAAAAGGGTTGTTGTTGTACTGGCCCCTACTGTACTTCCTTCTGTATCCGCCGGGTTCTACACGTCCTCAGACGATCTGAGCATTCTGGTCATGATGAGTCTTATTCCAGTCCTCCTGGCCATTGGCCTGTGCCAGATGGTTTTGAGCATTTTGGCCCTCGGCAGCCCCGTTCCCTGGGTTTGGGTTTGCTGCATTCGCCAGGTTGGGCCTTTCGTGATTTTCCACTTCAGGAACCCAGTTTGGCAGGATTAGGTTTCGAGTTCCTTCTCGGCCATTGGCAGGCTGGCCTTTAGTTTCTATTGCTCCCGGTCCAGTCAGCTGTGTTAAGTGTTGTTCCTGGTCTCGCATTCCCCTATTACTTTCCTCCCGTATCGCCCAAAAGTCTTGCTGCCGTTGCAGGTTATTACGAGTTTCCAATTCTGCAATCCACTCCATGATCGCAGCAAATGCGTTGTTAGCCAACCGAGTATCCAGATCGGCTAATTGGGCAATACGCGCAGCAAGATCTCCTGGGTGCTGGGAAGGGTTGTTCCTTATTGGAGCCATAATCGCATCAGCTCCCTGTCTCGACGCGCTGGAGTAGACGCGGTGTCTGAGACGTCATCCTCAACCTGGACATGGTCATAGTCCATGTTGTTTCCGATCTGGTTCTGAGGCTGATTTACCTCTTCCAGGACCGAATCCAACGGTTGATTCTGGTTCTGGGGTGGCTGTTGGCTACTACTCCTTGTCTGGATTGCCATCCTTTGTCAGGTTAGTGGGGACTTCCAATTCAATGAAGATGAATTCCCCACAGACGGCGCCAGTGTTCTGTCCTTGAGACAGAGATGTCCAGCCCAATAGGCTGGTGCGTTTATCTTGGATCTAGTGCCCTCTCCAAAGTATCTATTAATGAGATACCCTTGAATCAAGCAGATCACTGTGCACAGAATAATATAACGGCGTTAGCCAATGGGGTGTGTGTGTGCGCACAGTGACAACATAACACTAAGAGAGCGAGCCTATCTTACCTTTAGGGTTTACCTTGTATTTATAGAGATTACCTGTGGGTAGTGTGGATGGGCCTTTGGTGCCTTTGGTGAGGGCCCAGGCCTGCTTGTTATGCTGTCGTATTAGGATTAGTATCCTTGATGGATATCTGTACCGTAGGGATCTATAAGCCCACTATGTTCCCTTCAGGGATGAGTCATTGTATGGATAATACCTTTAGCACAGGTACAGACCAGGCTAAGAGGTACTTGCCCAGTATAACAAGCAATCAGCAATGGATAAGTAAGCAATAGTATGACTCAAAGTAAATGGGCAAGAATGACGATACATTAGATCCCCTTGGTGTGTCCAACGGGGCTATTTATAGGGAGGTTGTATGAGCCTCCAACGGGTTGGTGAAGAGGGGGTCAACCCTTCTTGGGGTCCGCTCCTGATAGCAGATGTCGTGGGGCGTGACAGGCGCTGTTATGATAGCAGTGATGCCCATGGTGGTGTCAGGTATGTCAAACGGGGGCAGTTCCCTTTAACGACATCTGGGGCGACTGCCTTTGGGGGTTGGGGTTTCGAAAAGGGACATTTCGGTGCTTCCCCTAGGACGCGTCGCAGTGTTGGGGGATGGAGGGTCCACGTCAGCCCTAAGGGCTGACGTGGGCTGGAGCCTTGGACTGGGCCTGAGACACTGGACTACTTAGGGGTTGGGCCATTCGGAACAGGAGCCCCCAGCTTGGCAGCAAGCGTAGGTTGGTGCCGAGTTACAGTCTTTGGGCGTCTCTAGGCTGGTGTCGCCGAGGTACCCGATTTAGGGCGTCACACTGACCGGTTTGGGCGTCATCCTGACTGGTATCGCCCAGGCAAAGGATCTGGGCGTCACACGGTCTGATGTCGCCAAGGTTCCAATTTAGGGTGTCACATTGACTGGTGTCGCCATGGTAAAGGGTTAGGTACCCATCCTCTTACATTTCGCAAAGGGTATTTTGGGTCTTTTGTCTTTCTGACACGGGGGGTGTCTCTTCGAATTTCGAGGAGTCGCAATGATGGCTTTTTCCATCTTTGCGAGTAACTGCAGGACTCAAACATTGTGCATTAATGCGACGTGAAAGGTGTCTTATCCCTTTGAAACTACCATCAAACCCTTCACTCCAATCGCTGATCATCTGACGGTTACTTATCCTACGGTTGAAAGACCAAGAGGCTGTACACGTGTACGCCATCTTGGTTTCCTTCCTCCTTTAAAAAGGGGGCTCGTTCCCCCCTGAGGGCTTTTGTTACGCTATCTGCTGCTCTTCCTGTCTCTGCAAATTGTGTTGTGCTCTCCTCTTATTGCCCTAGTGCTCTTGCCGGTCCTCTTTTCTTCGCTGTCTGCATTATCTCAGGTACAGTCGTCCTTCCTTTGCACTTATTTTTGCTTCGCTTCTCTTCTTCTTTTTCCTGGGGATGGTTAAAGTAACGGACGTGCATGGGTTGTTCTTTCCTGAGTTGGAGATTGAAGTTAAGGAGGAAGAATATGATGAAGCCTTCGACGCACTCGAAGGTTGTACTGTGGGGCCAGCTATGCAGGAATATCTTGCTAAGCGTGGTGGGGAGGGTAACAGTTTTCCCTTCTGTCGTTCTCTAGTTCCCAAGGTGGAGTCGTTACCCCCACGATAGGGTTCCTGAGCTTCTGGGTTTTACTGAAGAGGAGATTCAAGATCTCTTGCCATAACGGGCTTTAGGGCCTGTGCTTCCTTATTTAGGTGAAGCGTCTGGCTTTCGTAGTCGCGGTGGGCGTCAGGTGTCGGGTGGTGAAGTCGCTTCTGGGTCTGGTCATTGTGCATGGCGACTGGCTGGCTTCGAACTGGTTGTGGACGATGGGTGAGTGGGATGGCTAATGGAGCACTGGTAGGGAATGAGATTCCGAAATGAACTCCCGGCGGTGGGGATTGGTTTGGGATTAAGTTTTCCCCTTGCATCTCACGCACAGGTGCGCGATGGTTAAACTGTGTTACTCTGTCGTCGGCTATTGGCAGCCGCGGACCAACGGATTGTAGTACAGGTGGGAGGGCCTCGCTAGCGACTCGTTCAGCTGGGGCGGAGTGCATGGATGGCGGGGAGTTGGGATATACTGTTTGCACGTGACCGTCAGGGGTGACGACTCTGCTTGTTTTGCCCTTCTGGTCGTGACAACCATGTCTAATTATCAGGGTCTGAAATGTGTCTTCTGGATCTTTGGTAGGAGAGTGGGAATAGAAGTTTATAGGTTCCCACATCCCACAGACGGTGCCAATGTACCGTAGGGATCTATAAGTCCACTATGTTCCCTTCAGGGATAAGTCACTGTATGGATAATACCCGTAGCACAGGTACAAACCAGGCTAAGAGGTACTTTGCCCAGTATAACAAGCAATCAACAATGGATAAGTAAGCAATAGTATGACTCAAAGTAAATAGGCAGAATAACGATACATTAGATCCCTTTGGTGTGCCCAAGGGGGCTATTTATAGGGAGGTTGTATGAGCCTCCAACGGGTTGGTGAGGAGGGGGTTAACCCTTCTTAGGGTCCGCTCCTGATAGCAGATGTCGTGGGGCGTGACAGGCGCTACTATGATAGCAGTGATGCCCATGGTTGTGTCAGGTATGTCAAACGGGGGAAGTTCCCTTTAACGGCATCTGGGGCGACTGTCTTTGGGGGTTGGGGTCCCGAAATGGGACATTTTGGTGCTTCCCCTAGGACGCATCGCAGCGTTGGGGGATGGGAGGGTCCACGTCAGCCCTTGACGTGGGCTGGAGCCTTGG